GCTACTGGGCTAGACTTGGAGGGTCCGACCGGGGCAACTCGTTGCTGTGGACTTGTAGGCAAGTCAAGTAGGGCTATGGAATGCTAGGACAATGTTATTATGTTTGTGTTATAGGCTTGGGTAGGAATTCTTAAGCAATACGTTGAGTGGCTTTTCCGCCGGCGGGAGGACGACAATCCCACGCAAACAGGACGGATGTTCCGAATGTTGCTTACATTCATGTTGTCGAAGCTCGCGACGACGGCTCTGGACAGGACGGATGTCAAGTGTGCGTTGGTGGACGTGATGGCAACGTAGTGAAGGACACGGACGCGCATGCACAGGCCATGGAATGGTATGTCTAAATCATGGATGGCGACGTTCAACTCTCAGAATGGTGATTTCTGCCTTTGGGTTCAATTCTGAACCTGGAATGCTGCTGGCTCTGCCCGTACCGGAAAAGTGCTTTCCGGTACGGCGGTGTCAGGAGGTGGTATCTACGTCGTCTTAGGGGCAACCCTAAGACTAAGGGGATGAACGAATAGAGATATACTTAGGGTTTCTTGGCTGCAGCAAGTGTTGTCCTGGGCGCGACGTTGATGGCCTGATGCCGACGCGACCTCCTTTACGACAATGCTAGGCAAACGCAGCGGATGTTCATGAATTACTTAAGCGTTCATATTACTCGTCACAGCTTCAACGGCACTGTACTGGGCGGATGTAAGATGTGCGTTGGTGGACGCGATGGCCTTACGAAGGGGGAGAAAGACGCTTAGGAGATGCTTGGATTGTTATGTACAAGTCACAGACGGGGACGTTTAACTCTATGAATGCTGAGTTTTAGCTACTAGTCGGGTTTTTTGAACTTCGCTGTTGTTGGTTCCGCCCGTACAGGAAAAGTGTCTTCTGATACGGCGGTCACAGCAGGTAGTATCCGCGTCGACTTGTATGCAAACCAAATACAACGAAACCAGGGGATGATATGACAGTTTTGGAATGCTTGTTTCTTGGCCGCAAGCAGCAGCATACTTAAATCGCGTTGGGCCATTTGCCCAGGCTGCCG